TACTTATTTTAACACCCAGCTGACTCTTTGATGCAGACCTCATGTAGTCTTTCAGTGACCCTAATGTTCAGATCTTCCATTCAAACACATTTTAATACTTGGAAATATCTTGGAGTTCACAGAGATATATTTTCAGTTTCATCTAATATGCAGTTTAACAAAGCGAGGACCAGAGATACAATGCCCGATTTAAATGTCATTGTTCATGATTAAAATGCATTTCTTCAAAAATTTAGAAAGGAAAAATAACTTGAGGTATACATTTGACAGAGATTATTGAAGGGATTCATATTATACTTTTTCTCAGGTAGAATGTTCCTGGGATTGGGTGTGAATGTGCTTACCTAGCACCTGTCTTTATATTTTTTATAGCTTGTGAATACATGATTATTTTTTACATTTATGTAAGAGAATCTTTTTGTTGTGGTTGTTCTGGGAATAGTCAGTAATGACTGTTATCATTTCCAAACACTGAGAACTGATATCCGTGGGGTCCTAGAGTTTGACTTTCAGGACTAAGGCTTTATTATCTGACTTCAAAATTTGTTCCAGGGAATTCCTACCCAGGAAAATAAAGCTGATACAGGAACTGCAGGAAAAGCCAAATCCAGTCAATAAAGTTCTCAACCAACTCCTTTCTCAGGAAAATAGATCACTAAACTAGGAAAACCCACTTGCCTATCAAGCAACTATTTACTCACCAAGATTCATTCTTTGCCTCCAGCTGTCTTCCAGGCCAAAACTATTATATTAAGAAATTTGCTCGGTCTCAATTTAATCCAACATTAAAAGATTTACTTTTTTTTTTTTTTTTGAGTTGGAGTCTCTGTCGCCCAGGTTTCCAGGCTGGAGTGCAGTGGCACGCCCATGGCCATGGCAGCCTCGACCTGCTGGACTCAGGTGATCCTTCTGCCTCAGTCTTCCAAGTAGCCAGAACTACAGGCTAATTTTTTTAAAAAAAATTTATTGTAGAGATGAGGTCGTACCAATTTGCCCAGGCTGGTCTTGAACCTGTGGGTTCAGGCAACCCTTTCACTTCAACCTCCCAAAGTGCTGGGATTATAGGCATGAGCCACTGCTTCCAACTGAAAGATTTACTTTAAACCACTGGCAAGGAGATTGCCGAACCTTAAAAATTTCATCCTCAAACTCCCTTTCCAAGACACTAGCCACTAAATCTCAGTCAAGACAGCATTCTTCCCACTGCAGTAGGTAAAAAATGGGGCTTTGCTTGATTGATACATGATTCTGGCGTCCTCTTTGGAGAGTTGGACAGTAGACACTACTTTTATTACTTGTAATCAAAGAAGTATTGACATCTAGTGTGAGCTTCCCAGGATAATATACTCAAAATTTAGACTTGCTCCATGAACAATATCTCGTTTTAGTCTATGGACAATGTATACTATACTAAAGTAGGTATTAGTGTTCTGAAATAAAAACTGGCTAAAGAAAATAGGAGACATTTTTAGAAAGTATTCTAGTGAACATTCTCCCAATTCAGCTGTGATATAATTGTTATTAATATTTTACATGCCAATTTTCTTTAATAATTCCAATGTATCATGTTCATTTGTGTTATTTACTGGGAGAATGTTGAAAATAGTTTTTCTTTTAAAGATTTTAAATAAATTAATTTCTAATTCTATTTTTAGTCGTTGTATGCAGACTTTCAATTATAAAACAAATTTATTTTTACTGAACTGCTTGCTCCCATGCACTAGTTTTAGAGACCTTTGTTTGTGTTTCAGGGAATCTACAGTGCATGATACTTTCTTTTTGAACACATTTAAGTGGCTTTTAAACCTCTGAGGCATGAAAAAAGGAAACCATTCTGAAATGTTATAAAATATGAGTTGCAATTTAAGATCTTGAGACTTTTAGAAACCTGAAGTTGAAGAATATTTTTTCAAACAGCAATTTTGCAGTATCTATAAAACCCACTATAATTGAATGTGGCTTACAACGTGAACTGCTATGAGTTTGTGAATTTTTCCCAAATAGTTTTGATTTTGAATTGATGTTAAAGAAATATGCCACCTTTGTAATTGGTTTTGCATTTATAAAGAAGAGAAGTAATAAATACTTCTTTTCTAAATGAAAAATAACTGGAGGCGTGCTTTTTTAAAGTGGAATTTAACTGTTAATATATGTGAAAAAATATTCTTTTTATATAATATTTTGAAAATTTAGATCTTTAAATAAAATAGCAACATTATTAGGATAGTATTTTTAATACTATAGTATAAATGTGTTAGATCCTACAGATTTTCCCATTTAATAAAGCACTACTTATTTACCAAGGAAGTTTATTATATTCTAGGTTGCTAAACTATTCTCCACTTCATAAATTAAATATGATGAAATCTTTTTTCCAAAGTTATGTTTCTAATAAATATAATCACTACCCAAATTATTCCCCCAGAGCATTTAAATTAATATTTCAATAATTATTTCTGAATTCAAATACTTATCTAAAAAGTGGACCTTTCTTCTTTTCATTTCACTTAAAAATATTCACCAAAGTACTGAAATTACCTACTAAAGATAATCACATCAATTACGGCTGGTATTTTATATATTTTGTAATGTCAGCATTTTTCAAATTATTATATTTTTCTTAACAGCAACCTGAATTTGCACTGGTTTTCAAAAAAAAGTGCAGAATAAATTGAACAAGTTTAAAGAAAAAAAAGCAGTGCTGGTTTAAACAAGAAGCAAAATTCAAAACCTGGGAAAGCAATAACTATTACAACTACCTCTGAAGTGACAGGGAGGATTGAAACAGACCCTTGCATTTGCCAGTAATAGGCACATTGCCTGCCATTTTTTACACTAAGTTCAGAGGTATACTTTTCTTTTAAATTGTCATATCAAATAAGTAAATTGAACATAAGAAATAATTTATATTACTCAAGCTAAAATTAGCAACGAAATAGCAGTGTGATTTTGCTTGGGATGGCATGTAGCTAATGGAAAATATGGTAATGGATGTATCTTGAGTGTCAGTCCTAGTCTAAATTCAGTTTACTAAATAATCACAATAATAATTCCCTTCTGGTTTCTCACCACCAGCTTCTTCTTCTTCTGCTTATTTTTGCATTGTTTCAGAATCATTGCTTCTGTTTATAAAATCTCAAATGTCATATTTACATGTGACCTAGTAGAAGCATCGGAATTTATCTCTCCAAGAGATAGATAATTATCTGTGATATGTTTCCAGCCTTTTCTTGATGAGATGTTACATCTAATGTTCAGTTCTTTGGGGTGGGTATGCAGTGCAGAAGGGCACCGGTGGCAAAGGAGGAGTTATAATCAAGATAAATCACTTTAGTAGGGTGGAGGGGGACAGAGAAGAGACCATCTCTGAAGGTTTCAAATCAACAAAATGTGATATCCAAACATTTAAGGCGACTGATCTGCTTGTCTACCAAAGTCTCATATTATGCTTTTTCAATTATGTAAAATTATAATTAAAATACTTTTATTATAATTTATAATGTGCTGGTAAATTTAAAACTTAGACTGTTTACTTGTAGATATTAATTACTTTGACTTTCCAAGAGATAAAAATAAGAGGAAAGAAGTTACAGACTTTGTTTCAAAGATAGAATAAATATTTATGATAGAATTATGATTAGAAATCAACTATTTGGCATCAAAACTGTTTCCTTAAGAAATATACAGCCAGCCGGGCCCGGTGGCTCAGCCTGTAATCCCGCACCTTTGGGAGGCTGAGGTGAGTGGATTGCCTGAGCCCGTGGGTTCAAGACCCGCCTGGGCA